AAGATCCTCATATGTCCCAACACCAGCGTCCCGCGACCCTTAGCGCCACTAGGCCTGGTCGCAGGTAGTTTGTATTTTTTTTTTGTTTTTCCGTTCTTTTCTCGTTTTTGCTCGGTTTGTCGAGCCCTATAAATTAGAATTTGTCCCAGACCTTAGGGGGACTCTCTTGGATTGTTCTTTTCAACTTTTCTCTCAAAAACCCCATCTGTTATATTTGATTTTCTCTTGAATTTGTTCTCTAATATTTTGGATTTAAGCTTGTTTATTGGATTCAACATTGGAATTTTTATCAATCGTAAGTTTTTATCTTCGTTTAATCTATGAACATGATTTCTTAGATTGAGATGATTGTTTGTGTTGAATTGAATATGCGTGGCTAAATCAACTTGCTAGGGATATGGTATGATGTTTTGGTTTCGATTTTGATTATCATGTTTGTTGATCATTCTATTTATGCGGGTTGTGTTTAATTAGGGTTTCGATTCTCATCCTTGAATGTTGAGTGTCGTTGAAGAGTGATACTTCAATTTACAATTATTTTCAATTGAATATGATTCATTCGCGTTTGATTTTGTTAATTCTAAAAGATTAGTCAATTAATTCCCATCTAGTCTAATTTAATCAACTCTTAGAACCGAAAGGGGAGGAGTTGATCGATCTAGGCTCACATAAAAGACTTGTTCGTAAAAGTATTGCCTATGTGTTAAAAGACTCGTTGATTTGTTGCTCATATTTATTCTCTTGTTACGAAAAGTTATTTAGGATGAATCTCTGAACGAGTAAATTATTCGAATACTTTAACTGAATGGTCATTCGCTCATTGATTGTGTTTCGAATCAAAATAATCATTCTCGACTCCCTAACTTCTTTATCATTGCTTGATCATCGCGTTTTCCTTGAATTTTGAATTTACTTGGTTTGAGAAATTCTTAGTTGATAATTACTTCTAAGTTATGTCTTTGTTACGGGGGAGCTGATCCAATCTTGGAAGGATTACTGATGCTGATATGGCCAGAGATATTGAATGTCGAAAGTCTACTTTTGGTTATGTCTACATTTTTTGCAGGGAGAGCCATTTCTTTGCAATCAAGATTGCATAAGTGTGTTGCTTTATCCACAATATATTGTTGCCGCAGAAGCTGGTAAAGGAATGTTGTGGCTAAAACGCTATCTCCTTGAACTTGGGATCAAGCAGAAAGAGCATAACGTATATTATGATAGTCGAAGTGCTATTGACTAAAACATGAACTCTATTTACCATGGCCGTACAAAGAATATTGATGTTTGACATCACTCGATACGCGAGAAGATTGATAAACAACTGTTGAAACTAGAGAAGATCAATACGAAGGAGAATCCATCAGTAATATTAACAAAAGTGGTTACACTGGATAAGCTTAAGCTATGCAGAGACATAGTAGGAAAGTTTATTCAGAACTTGCATGGAAATGGGAGAATTGAAAGTTCCATGCAACACACAAATGAAGAAGTCATCAATGACTAGCCATCCACCAACATTCTCCTTTCACACACCATTTACCAACAATGGTGTGCTTGCTTGTATCCATAAATAAGTTGTTTATTTCATTCATCTAAATCATCTTAAAGTGTGATCAATCAACCTTAAGAGTGTTGAAACACAATCAAGTAGAGTTTTGGAGAGTTTGAGAGTTTTTTTTTTTTTTTTGGTAAATCTCTTGTTTTTATTCTCTTGAGTAATAGAAACTTGTTTTCTTTCTCATTTATGATTATGACCTTGGGTTGATATCACAATACAACCGCCGAAAAGTTGATGCAATCAGAACCTGCTCATCCGACAAGTGGTGCTCGGATCCGACTCGTCGGAAAATTTGGTGGCCTTTAATCTGTTGCGCCCATAAACCTGCTCAAAACACCAGATGCTTGCTCTCGATTGAAGCCGTTTCAGGTCGCCGGCTCTCGTCTCTCGTGGATAGCTCGATCTCCTTACACTTGGTCGCTGGTTTAGCAGCTTTCAGTCGCCGGCGTGCGTTAATGTCCGAGAGAGGGACGGTGAGATTTGAGAGGGAAAGCTTTGGGAAGAAAACTGCTAGGGTCGGCTGTGAGGTACAAATATATATATACACATATATACATATATATATACATATATGTATATATATATATATATATGTGTGTGTATATATATATATATATATATATTGGGGCTACTGGAGGAGAGTCGCCAGATTTCATGGAGGTTGCTGTTAGAGCTTCTCGTCGGCGCGACTGGGAGAGAAGGGAGAGAGACCGAGGTATTGGAAATGATAAGCTTCATGGGCTGCTGGGGAGAATAAATGAGTTTCTTTAGATCTCTTAAGGTTAAAAAAAATTGGGCCAACTAATTAGCTTGGAAAAATTATTAATGTTTGGGCTGAGAAATTGGTTCTGCTTGGGCTCAAAATCAAAACACTATGGGCCGAAAAAGTACAAATACACAAGCTTAGGAAAAAAGGTTAACCACACAACACTTGGGCCAAACAAAAGTACTTAGGAAAAAAAAATGATAAAAATAATGAAATCAACATAAACATCTTGATCAAAAGTACACAAGTTGAAACAAAATAAATTTAACCCATAAGCAATTAAATTAACAACACTTAGAGAAATTTAGGCACAAATTAAACACAAAAGCACATTAATCAAATATTCAAATAGAAACATAATAAAAAACACTCATGCACATAATCAAATAATCAAATTGGCACATAATGAAGTAAATAGTTAGACAAATCGTCAATTAATCACTTAAGCAAATAAGTAATTAATTACTTAGGCAAATAATTCACAAAAGCACACCTAACACTTAGAACAATTATCAAACACGAGCAAATAAGAAGAAATAATCAACAAAGTTTAAACTTAGTCGAGCGATGCAAATGCTATGATTTAACTGAGAAGAAACAGGGCATTACATTTCACATATGTAAAATTAGACCAAATGCATTATAGGTACTCTTATGTGTTTTCTTCTATAAATTTTCTATTAATCTGACTAAAAAAAAAATATTGAAGTGAGATTTTATTGTCTTTATTAATTACCTTTCAGTTTTGGTCATACTCATCTTATTTAGGTAAAATATGTCTATAATTTGTATGGTATAGAAGGTGTTAATAAATTATCAATTTCCATGAATAGGGGCATATTTTTGGTACTAAATTATTGAACATTGCAAAAAGTTGTATATTTTTTTTTCCAGTACAAATAAGGAGCCAGAGGCCTGAATTAGGCTAAAATTTTACGGGGATATGAGACCCCAATAATATCATGGTCAAGCCATGTGCTAAGTCCTAGAGGAGGTGAGGACATCCTCTACAACCCAATCGGGCAAGAAGCCGCCATGCTCGCTAAGTGGTCCGCTGCAAAGTTGGCTTCCCTGTGAACATGCACTACCTTAACGTTCCACTCACGCTGGATCAAACTCCGAACGACCTTAACCAAGGTATCATGGGCGCCAAACGTACCATCTGAGCTAAGCACTATCTGTAACACGCATTGACTATCGATCTCGACAATAACTTGGCGGTACCCCTTATCCCAAGCCAGCTGAAGCCCCTGAAAGAGACCCCACAGTTCGGCGCCCGTAATGGAACATCCCCAATATTCATAAGAAACCCCTCGATCCAACCACCCGAGGCGTCACGAAGCAAACCACCTGCACTACTCAGGCTCGTGAGATTATCGCAAGCGCCATCGGTGTTTACTTTAATCCATCCCGAATCTGGTGGGGATCAATGAATCATAAGTGTGACATAAAGCGCTGCCGCCACCTTCACGTACGCAGCTTCAGCCCGGGCATAACTATCAACCAAATTCACGATGTCCACCCGCCGAGCCTCACTGCTAAGTGTGTTGTGATTTAAAATTCTCTCTTTACGCCAGTTCTATGCCCGCCAAGCTGGAATTGAGAAGGTACTGTTCCAGTTTCGAACCTCGCCCAACCGACGAGTCTCTAGATTCTTGCGCAACCAGCTCAATTAGTAATTGAAAATCTTTAGGACATGCATGTAATGAATTTTTATATGTATGAAATTGTTGATTATTTGGACAAGAGCCACATGACGGCCCAAATGGTAATTTCACAAATATCACCACGCTCAAAAGCCCTAAATACTCTCCCAATTTCGAATTTTCTTGATTGAGCGAACACTTTCTTCATTATCGTTCCGTTAATCGCTTCACTGGTGTTCTCAGGGCGGACGGAATGTATAAACGGTGCGATGTTCATTGCTCATTCTCTTCTTGTTCTGATATTTTTCAAATTCATCTCATAGCACATACTTCACGCGTTTCTCAAATTTATTTTACGGCTTATCCGATGACTGTACGATAATTGTTTCGGATTTTTGTGGGATTTCATCGTACAAATATTATGTTTAAGGATTTAATGTTGCAGGTAAGCCTGTTAGCTGATCATCATATTTATTTTGGGAAAAATATTGAATATTTGTGGAAGAAGGAGAAAAATCTTATATATATATATATATATATGTTTTGTTGTAATGATATGTTAATTTGCCATTGTCTTTTAAAACTTGCATTTTCTTTTCTGTTCTCTCTTCCCTTTTTGTTTTTGAAAAAATTCCGTTCATTCCTTCTTCCTTTCTCTTGAATGTTGCCTGTACTTTTGATGTTTCTATCCCTAGTTATGTCAAAGGGTTGAGCTGAGGACACTCTAGAAAGTTGTTCCAAAGGAAGTGCTATGTTCATTTTTCAACTACCAGTCTTTGATCAAGTAATCAATATCTGTGGTGAAAAATTGTAAAAACAAATTTTGACTGTTGTAGACTATTCCAGGGTCCAATGCAAATTCTTTGCTCACGGGGCATGTCTAAAAGGGGAGCACTGTGAGTTCGCCCATGATCGAAAGGCTCCACCTAACAATGTAACTGCCTCTAAACCGGCTTGTATCACCAACACTCTTTATTACTATTTGTATTAAATCTTTTCTCATTTTCTGTTTCCTCTTAATGAATTGCAGATATGTACCTTCTATCAAAAAGGAGCTTGTGCTTATGGCAGCCGGTGCAGATACGAGCACGTCAAAGCTTCTAGGCCTTCATCAGATGCTCAAGATAGCAGTCCTGGTTGTTCATCTTTCGCGGGACCATTTTACTCACCCACCACTCCTGCATGGAAGGCCCAACCTGAGATTGGAAATGCTCTCGATGGTGGTGATCACGATCTTGATTACTCCAGCACCCTTGATCCATCGGATCAGCCTATGTGTTCTTTTGCTGCTGCTGGAGACTGCCCGCGTGGCGAAAAATGCCCCCATATTCATGGGGACTTGTGCCCGAATTGCGGGAGGCGGTGCCTGCACCCCTCCAGGCTGCACGAAAGGGAAGAGCACCTGAAAACGTGTGAGAAAAGGCAAAAGCATCTGGAGGCCCTAACACGAAGTCAAGGAATAGAGTGTAGCGTGTGTCTCGAGCTCGTCCTGTCGAAACCCACCCCAGCAGAAAGGAAATTCGGGATTCTATCAGAGTGTGATCACCCTTTCTGTGTTTCGTGCATAAGGAGCTGGCGAGGTAATTCGCCGGCGTCTGGCTTGGACATTAATTCTGCATTAAGAGCTTGCCCTATCTGCCGGAAGCTTTCGTACTTTGTAATTCCCAGCGTGATTTGGTACTTCTCGGAGGAGGAAAAGAGCGGTATTGTCGAGAGCTACAAGGCAAAGCTGAAGTATGGAGCCTCCCTACCTTCTTCTCGACTTCCTTTTCTTTGGATCCCTTCCGTTGCTCTCATTTGGCTGCTCGTTCTGTTTCAGGTCTATTGATTGCAAGCACTTTGATTTTGGGAGTGGATCCTGCCCGTTCGGGACCAGTTGTTTTTACAAGGTGTCTATTCTGTTTTAAAATGTCGGTATATTCATTGCAAATCCTTTGTTTCTGTTGCATTGCCTCATTTTAATTTTTTGGGGTAGATGTTTGGTCCATGTGCTTGTCTATCATAATGGTTTTACTTTATCTTTCTCCAGTCTCAGATCACTTATTCAGGCTACTATTGCTTCTGAAAGTTGAATTCTTTTGCTATATCTGCTGATTGCTCTGTATAATCTGGTAGAGGTGTAAAAAGACATACTTAATATCTTGAAGTTATGATGGGGATTTTTTAGGAGTGCATTGGTTGCGGCAGCCGCGTAGATCAGATATGTTGCAGGCTCCTCTAGCGTTATTTTGGCTTTGATTCTATATTTTTGGCACTTATTAAAGTTCAACGGGTGGGGTTATGGATGTTGAAAAGGGATTCATGATGGGTGCTGTATATTTTTAGAAAAATATATTCAAGCATCTATTATAGCGATAAATAGTAATGGTCCTGTTGTAGTTTTGGAATTAGGTGCTTAGCCAACTTCAGATTGCAATTTGAATTTAATATAATGTCGTGAAAATTTGACTATTTCTTAGATGAAGAATGCCGGCAAATCATTTGGGACTTATTATGGTAGTACATATAAAACAAATTTTTATAACCCTTTTTATATAAATTTTATGGAGTAATTCTGAGTCTCTCTTCCCTGACGCTTCTTTCTCATGTGTAAAGGATTCTCTTTGTTCTGTTAATGAATGCTTAAATTAAAATTTTCCACAGCATGCATATCGTGATGGTCGCCTTGAGGAAGTGGTTCTTCGCCATCTTGGGGCTGAGGATGGAATTACGGTGATAGCTAAAGATATAAGGTCTTTTTCCTACCTGACTCATATTTTTAGATAAGTGTTTTATCTTGTCCTATTAATACTTGTTTGCTTCCTTTTCAGGCTCTCCGACTTTCTAAGTAATTTGCAGATAAGGTGATCCTAAAAAAATAAAGAAAAATTCAGGTCCTTTCTTATTTTCCTCAACTATAGAATTACCATATTATGCTCCTACTGGAATATTTATGCTTCTGTTATGGCCTTTTATTTTATCAATGGTTAGACTTTTGCAAACCCAATCTTTTCCTGTTGTCCATTTAAATCTGGTCAATGTTTTCCTGTTGTCTATTAAAAATTGGAATATTTCCTGCAAAAATATATTCCAAAATGTCTTATGTTTTCCTTGGTGCTGAAGTTGAAATACTCACTACTAGCTACCTTCCTTAAGGAGGAAATAGATAAGAATTAAGAACCTAAAATAACAACAACATACCCAGTATATTCTCAACTGGTTGGGGTTTGGTGGGTCAGTTGTACGCAGACCTTACCCTTGTAATTATGCAAGGAGGCTGTTTCCGTAGCGACCCAAGGTGCATCGCGTCGTTTGATATATTTTTTTTTTCTAGAAACTTCACTAATAGAAGTAGCACTAGAATTTAATTGAGTCATTTTGATCTAGTCCATTATTAGCACTATATGCCAGGAGAATTGTCAACAATGACTCTTCTAGCTCCATTTGCAATTGACAAATTAAGAACCTATTTCTTTTAAATGAAATGCCAATATATTTTCTCACCTAAATCTTCTCTTACTCATAACTTCCTCATCCTAAATAGCAATGTTATTAAATATCGGACATGGCGGTATGGCGTGGCGGTTTTTAACTTGACTGCCATGTTATGGCCGCCTAGTGGCGTCTTTTCATTGGTGGCGCCATTGCGGCCGCCATGAGCGTTGCCGCCATGGCGGTGTGGCGCTGATGGCGTAAAATGGAGGGTTTTGCCTAGATTTTGAGCTAAAAAGAAAGGAATATTAATTGGGCAGGTCCAATTTTACCAAAATCGGCCTTGATCTGCTGAGAAATAATAAACAAAAACCCTAATTGCTGCGGTAAAGAGGAAGGAAGGCAATTCCATGAGCCCGCTTTCCGGCGACCCAACCTCCGGTTACCTATCGTCGGCTATCCAATCTCCGGCGACCATTACTTCTATTTTTCTTTCATTCTTCTTTTTCGTTTTCCCTATTCTGTTCCTGGTTTATTCCTTTTCTCTATCTTCTTTGATTTCCAGATCTTTTTTTGTCTTCTCCTCTCGTATTTCTGCTGCCTAACTTATCAACTTTTATTTAGTTCTTTTAATATTTCTTTTTTTTTTCACATTAAATAAAAAAGTCAGTGTTTCTTTAATGTTCTTTACGTTTTCAGATTGCTTATTTATTTTAATTTTCAGCCCTCTTTTGTTTAAAAATAATTATTTCTAGCTGCCCTTTATTTTAAACTCTCTATTTGTTTATTTTGCTTTGATTTTCAGCTCTTTCTTATGTAACTAATTTTATTTTTTGTATTAACTGACATTATTTAAACTTAACTATGGTGTTATGTGTGTGTGTCTGTGTATAGATATTAGAATGTATAAATATATATAGAATATTAATCTCTTAGAGTCCGCCACAATTTTTGCCATTTTCCGCCACGCTATCCGCCATATATGTATGGTGTTTTTTTGGATAACCGCCATCCGCCATTGATAACACTGCTTAATAGGCAAAAAGTAGTAGTAAACGGCAGTACCAGTGCCAGTAATATTTATAGTTTACTACATAAAACCCTTTAATATTTTTATTGTTATGTGATAATTTTCATAGTTGTGGGAGTGTAGGATTCTCTCTTCTTTAGGTTTTACTAATATAATTCCTTTAAGTTATGCAATATAATAGAAAACATGACATCCTTGATGCTTTTCGCTGTAGAAAGAAGATTGGAGCTTTGCATTTATCCGTTTTCTGACATTTTTTTTGCTGGCAATTTCAGATGATGTAAAATCTCTTTGCAAGCGTTGTATTCGAAGATGTATGTAACGTTGGCCATTGTCTGCTAAAACTGTATGTATGGCGGTTTACTATCGATTTTACTTTTTCCAACACATTTTCTGAAAGAAACACGCTAGACAATAGATTTATAAGTTGCATTATATAGTCAAAATACGAATCCGAAAAAAAAAAAAAAAGTCCAAGTATCGTGTTCCTTTCGCACAAGGGGTTACTTCACCATTGGCCGAACGCATCTGAAGATGTGTTAAAATTTTGGAACTTTTGGCTTGTTAGCATGGTTTCATCTGTGCATGAAAGGTATAGCACATGAAAGAGACGAGATTTGTACTGTGAATATTCATTCTTGTTGCTTGGATTTTCTTGTATTGATACAATTTATCACATTTTATGTAATATTTCAAGCTGCAGCTGAATGAATGCCAACAAATACCAAAAGATACAATTATATATTCATTCATTCATATATATAACACTAAAAAGAAGTGGCGATACAATAACAGGACTCCCTCTCGCTCTTATTCATCCTATTTTGATAAAAAATATCATTGTATATAAAATCATAACCTCTCAATCTATGTATCACATGAAAAAAGATATCCATCCAATCCAACTATAAATATATGTATAAATGTGGTCGCCAAATAAAATTGGAGTCATTTGTTGATTAGAGCCATGAGAGATAGCACCACCGTAGAAGCCACCACGGCGACGGAAACTGGCAGTACGGAAGCAGCGCCGGCGTCGGGATACGGCGTGGGTGCCGGTGCCGGGAATTCACTCTGAGCGGATACCGAAGAAAGCGTGGCCATGATGATGCCCACAGACATTACAATGATCAACGACTTGATACGCGCCATTCTCCTAAATTATACTTTACCTCTCCTTTAAACTAGTCTATAGATGCGCCTTTGATTGTGGTTTATATAGGAAGGGACATGAAGGATATATATATATACATATATACAGAGCGAATACGCGTGGGGCCCATCTAGCCGTGGTTAATCGTGTTGAGTTGTTTGAAGAAGATGATGGTTGAGTTAGTTCTAGAAAGGTTAGATATTGAGGTATGAATGTATAGGTAGGTATAGCAGGTGGCCTAAAAAGTACCCTCGTAATGTAGTCCTACTAATGAAGAATAAAAAAATATTAATTGAATTATCTCATTTTTGTAGTCATACTAATGAATAATCATTATAATATATTAGAAAAATACTGTTATTCAACTCAGTTACTTCTTAAATTTTATTAATTATCAATCAGTGATATTATCTGTATATCACATTAGTATTAGTATTCAATTTTTTCACAACTTCAAATCTATCTTACTCTTTCTAAAAAATACAAATTTCATCTTATTTTTCGTGCCGAGGCAATTTTTTTTTTTTTTTAAAAAAATAAGAACTATTTACATCCAATCCCTCAATTCATTTCTTTAGTAAAGATCAAAATACAAAAACGGGCATAAAAGTATATTAAGAAGATCATGCTGAAAAGGCACTAGTAATTTTAATTTTTTAGATGATTACACTTAGAATCAATATGGCTTCTATATCCTAAGAGCTATAACTCTGTAAAGAAGTACAAGATACGAATACGAAGGAAATTTGTGGAAGATGATATATGAATATTTGGAAGTTGTTACGGTCCCGTGACGGAATCATTCCATTTGGATTTGTAACCGTTACATCAACTATCTCTACCGGTTACGACAGAATGATTCCGAAATAAGACCTTAACATTTCATTTCCCTCAATATTTTTACCATTCGAAAATGTGAAAATGGAGTTTTGTAGGGTCATGATTGACGGGTAGCGAAAACCTTATTCGTAACCACCCGTCGCACCCGTACGTTGACCAGCCTGCTTAAGGCAGGTTGAGACACATGGCGTGGCTGCTGGTTGGGAAAAAGGCAGGGTGTTTACTAATTCTTCCACACATTGTCGTGGTCTCTAAGGAAACATTTATTTTCCATTTACATTATTATTATTATTTTTTCAAACGTTCCATTTACATTACTCGCAACTATCATAATTGGAGTCTATTTTGGCTACTTTGTTCACATTGGAGCTTCGTATCCAGTCTTTGACTAAAATATACAGTGGTTTGAACCTTATTTCTAGGTTTAATTTATTGAGTTTGGTGATTATTTTATTTGATAAATAGTTTATTTGATCAGTTTTTTATGGGTTATGCTAAAACTGTTTCATTCCAGAAGCATTCATATCGAAAGATTGAGGATAAAATCGAATAGCATAAGCGTACCTCCTGGATATATTGATTGATTGTATTGGAACACGAATTTGAATCGGAATTTCGATTTGGGTTTGAAGATCTTCCAAAAGACCGTGAACCCTTTTATTAGAATATGTATAAGTTCCTTTTATATTAGAGTTGTAATTTACATTGTAAAGTTGTTATTAGCATATAACACTTTCCCTTATTACTGTTTAGTATATAAGGGACATGTGTGGTTGTAAAACTCACTTTTTACTTTTCTGAATACAATTCTCCATTTTTCTTTTCTCTCTCTATCGATCTGTCTTCCCTCTCTCTATCACAAACCCTAATACCTTTCTCTTCATTTATGACGTAACGAAGATAAAAATCTGATGAAGAGAGTAATGGTGTAGAACAATTTTTCTTTTTATAACTTAATGAAGAATTACAAGGGCCTTTTTGTATTTATCACAACTTCTACCCATTATTAATTTTGATCCAAAATATAAAATAAATTTGGTCATTTAAATTTAATATTATTATTTATTACAACATAAAATAATAGTATTATCGGGTGTTATCACATTTAATTATTTCACAAATTAAATTAAGTTCCTCAGCCAATATATACACACAATAATTTGATCACTTAATTTGTCTAAACAATATAATGCCATAATGTATCAAGGTACTCTTTGTCCATTGCAAATGATGCTGGAAGAGTCATTGTTGACAATTCTCTTTGCATAGTGCTAATAATGGACAAGATCAAAATGGCTCAATTAATTTCTAGTGCTTCTTCTATTAGTGAAGTTTCTAGAAAAAAATATATCAAACGGCTCAATGCACCTTGGGTCGCTACAAAAACAACCTCCTTGTATAATTACAAGGGTAAGATATGCGTACAACTGACCCCCCCAGACCCCAACCTGTTGGGAATATACTGAATACTAGTATTCGATCCTATGCATGTGCACAGATGCAAATACAATTTTATATGTTATATGTATTTGTATGTAATATTTAAAACCATAAGTTTGATAATAGCATATCACATTTTATAAATTTTATCATAGTAAAAATGAACGATAAACTATTAACTTACATATTAGTTTGTATATCGATTGCAATTATATAATTTTTGCAATACTTTTTTAGTATGAACAATTGATTAGATAAAATAATATTGAGATAATTATTATTAAAATATCGAAATTTTGAAAATTTTGGTTATATCATAAAAATTAAATAACTAATGTTGATAAAAACACTTGCTTAATGAGTTAAAACCAAAAGAAAATCAAATAAATAGTTTGAAAATAAATTTAAATTATGATTTCATTTAGTGTGGCTTTATGATTTGTTAGGAATAATTGTTATATAATAAAATAAATAAAAAAAATAAGTACTTAATTAATGCAAAGTAACTTCTTTTGGAGGGAAAAAATTTGAGGTTTTATTAAATCCATATGAGCTAGTAATTATATATATATAGATGCTGTTGTGTTGTTGTGAATGTATCAAGGTACTCAATAATTAATGGTCATAATAGTGAATTTATTTATTTAAACAATATTATGCCAATTATTTATTTATTGATGAAAGCGTGCGGGCCCCCCTTAGAGGACGTATAATCAAATTTCATAACTTTAGGATCGAGAAAATGAGATTAACTTAGAATGCAATAAAATTTATTAACCCTCTTCGGGGTCCCTGAGTTTTATAACATCGCCAATGGAGACCGACTATTAATTTTGTTTGTCATGAATTTGGTTTTGATATAGGAAAATTAATGGGTCCTTGAAAAATTCTTCTCTTACGAATGTTGAGTATGTAAGGTTACCCTAGTATCATACGTTACTCTTAGTGTTTTGAGATGTCGGTGAATTTAAGTTAATATTGTTTTGAGATATTAATGTTAACAGTTAAAATCATTGTTTTGTGACCTGGACTGGCCCGCGGGTCGACCCGGGACTTGGAGCCGAAACCGGTCCGGGTGGGCTATTTGGACCGAATAACAATGGACCCGGCCAATCCGGCCTTACCCAGTCGCTCGGGTCATTGACCCGGCCGGGTCAACCCGGTTGACCCGGTCTCTATATTTTTTTTATATTTATTTTTATAGTAAATAAATACTATGTTTATATAATGACATAGTAAATATTTATTGTGATTTATAATATTATTAACACTTAAATGTATAAATTTTGTATACAAAATATTTATTTGTGTTACTTTTATGTATATTTATATGTCAAAAGTACTATATATATATATAATTTTAAAAATTTTAAAATTAATTATTCGGTTCAGCAATTGACCTGGTGACCCGACGGTTGAACCGGTGACCCGGTGACCTAGAGATCTGCCCGGGTCGATTTCCGGGCCGGGTTTAAGAACTATGGTTAAATTGAAAGTGTTTAATCAGTAAAATATATTTCATGATTCTAAAAGAAAAATATTAACTTATGTTTAATCAGTAAAATATTACTCTCAGTGTTTTGAGATGTCAGCTTTATTCAACATGTCGTTCAATCCGTTATCTGCTATTCTAAAAGAAAATCAAATTACTGCCCAAACTATATTAATTGGAAGAGGAATTTAGACATTGTGTTGACTGCTGAAGGATACAAGTATGCACTCGCTGAGGCTTGTTCGGATGAGCCTGTACCGAATGCCACTGATCAGGAGAGGGAAGAGTATGTGTACGCCCCGAACCAGATTTATATATATAGCTCGTCTTTATTTTTAGAAATAGTAAATTGTTAATTATGCCGAGAATTATTATTATTATTAATCGCATAATTTATTAAGTTCCAAGTCTAAGCCATGGAGAAAACATTCGAAGTATTATTTTGGAAATGAGATAAATATCTAAGTCAAAGACTAGATTTATTATTTTTATCGAGTATTAGAATAGTCGAGAATTTATTGAATTCCGAAACTAGCCCGATTTATTTCGGCCCAACTATTTAATCGAGACCCCTAGCGTATTTTATTTTAATTAGTCAGCCCATTTTTAATTCTAGTAGTCGAATTAAATTCTGAACCCAAGTAGCATTTTAAATGTTCCGAGCCCAAGTCGACTAATAATTCTAGCCCGTTTTTAGAAGTCCAATGTGAAGCCCAATTTGGAAGACAAACCCTAGTATCACATGTGTGTATAAATACCACACCCAACCTCATTTCATCTTCTCCACACAAGAAACCCTAGCATCTACCACACTCATCTCTTAGCCCCCACCACCACCCTTCATTTTTCGGCCACCTACCCGCTATTCCGGCGAGTCGCCGCCGTCCGACGAGCACCACCTCGGCACACTCCCGACCAAAGTCGTTGTCCAAATGAGCTCCGCGCAGTGTGCACCTTTTCACGCCACCGAGCTCGCGTCACCATCCATGTGAGTCCCAGCTGAGCCGCCTCACTGTACGCCGGCAGGATCCATGCGACCACAACTCGCCCGCACACCTCGTACCGTTCCCAGCGACGAGCCCTCTCTGTTCAGTTCGTACTTGCGCGACCTCAGCACCCACGCGACGCGCACAGGCTGAGCCCCGTCCACTGC